AGAGTGCCAAAATGGAGGTCAGCTTTTGCATAAAGGGCATGTACTTTTGGGCATGATCGGATTGATGATTGAAGTCAGTCACAGCCATACACAATGCCCACAAGACCTTGACTTTTATGCAGCACTGCTGCACTGACTGAGAGTGCCCTTGCTTCTGCATCCCACTTGACAGGCCCTTGTAAATGTGGGTGTTCAAGTGCCCACCCCAAGCAAATTGTCTCTGCACATTGGCACAACCCCAAAGTGCCATGAGGTCACACACCTCTTCCCAGGTCAAGTTGGGGGCCCTGGTAATCAGCATGGACAGATACATGCACGCATGGCCAGGGCTCAGTGAGGAGGAAGAGGATGACATGGTCATCCCATGCCAGCTCTCTGGGCCCCTGCATGTCTGTCCCTATGTGGCCAGCCCTGGATGGCTGCCCACAGTGCTCAGCGCAGGGGCACAGCCACAGACTGGGTGCCACACGGCAGAGGCACTTCACCACAGGACCTGCAAGCACAGGAGACATCTGGGGGTGAGCATCAGCAAAAGACAGCTGGGGGTGAACAGCTGGGTTGAGACAGCCAGGCAGCAGCCCTGGGAGGATCTCAAGGCTGGGCAAGGGGTGGACAAAGCTGCAACCCTTTGCAACACTCACCTGTGGCCAAGAAGCAGCTCTAGAGGGGGAGAGGCTTGTCTGGGGGGACACATGGTGCCTGCTGGGCTCCTGGACAGATCAGCCATCTCATCCAGGCTCACTGGGTGTGTGCCCCAGGGCACAAAATGGCTGCTGGCTTTACAGCCTGCAGCTGGGCTTCCAGAGAGCAGCCCAGCCCTGGGGAAGGAGAGGCAGCCATTCAGGAGCCCTGGGGTTGGGCTTAGGCCAGCCCCTAGTAGCTGGACAGACCCAGCTGTTAGTGCCAGGTTGCATCTACATGTGCATTAATGCGTTTTATCAAATTTAGGCATGATTAGCCTAAATTCACCATTTTTAATCCACATTACAGGCATGCATTTGTAGACACGAGCCCTTAATGTGCATTCAATTAGGCTACTGTGCATTAATGCGTCTCATGTAGACATGCCCACGTTGCTCCAAAAATAAGCTAGTGTTGGTGCCTTTTGTTAGAGTTGTGAGAGAAGCTTCATACATCAGTGAAAACCAGAAGTTTGTCTTTTCATTTGAAAAGGAATGGAAATGTAATTTTTCTTCCACAGTTTGCTTTACCCTTTTTGAAGATGAAATGTAACTGCTTTGATTAAGGGGAGAGTTCAAAGCCATAATGTAAATACTGATTCTTGCAAACTAAGACTATGACCCTGCTCTCAAAATTCAGGGGAGTTTTTCCATTATCTTCACTAAGGGCATTTTTACACATGCATGAGTCACAGTGCCAGGGACTTTCAAAAGTGCCCAGTGCTGTGATACATGCAATTGTATAAGTGGCAAAATGCACATCAGTCCTGAGAAACTGGTGGCAGCAGCATGCTTTTGAACTAAAATACCTCAGAGGTGCTTTAGTTCAAAAGTGCACCGCTGCCATTTTCTGCACACTGATGTGCATTTCACTACTTACACAACTGCACATGGTGCAGTGCAGCTTGCCTCAGCTCACATGTGGATCAGACTCGATTAATCAAGTCTGCTCCGAAGCAAGGGATCTCTACCGTCACGTTGCGGTGAAAAAAAGTATGAGTATAAATGCCCTAAGTCTCTGCCTACACAATATTTGTCTGATGCCTCTTTGCACTCTTAACTTCCAGTCCTTTACTTCCAGTAATCTTCTCTCTTTTCTCCTGTCATGGATGGAGGAACACTGACTCTTTCATTTTACTTTTTATGAGAAATCTGCAAAGCAGTTTTCAAAGTGTGACAGGCTAGCTGGCAGTGACTTAGCCCAGGGGTTTTGAAAGGGCAAAAGATGATTGGAGGACTTGGGATTCCCTTTCCTCACCAATCAGGGTCCAAAGACTCACCCTCCATGTCCCCTGATTGGCCCCTTGGGTCAGGAGGGGGATAAAAGGGGCAGCACGGCTGACTCAGGAAAGACTAGTGAGGGACCACAAGGAAGGAGCTTCAAAGAGCTGGCAAGAGTTGGGCCAGCGGGGCGAGAGCAGTTGCCCCAAAAGAGCCTGAAGGAGTGGGACCTGGGGTCCTCAGCAGTGTGGCATATGACTAGCAGGAGAGGCTCCTCACTGGGCTCCAGGATCCCCTACGAGAGGCTGTAGCTAGCAGGAGAGGCTCCCCAGCTCCAGCAAGGATCTGAGCAGTGACCTGAGAGGCTCCCAGCTCTGCTTCCAGCTCCTCTAATTAGAGGTTGGGTTGACATGAGGCTGGGGCTCCTGGAAGGTCAAGACCCCTAGCAGCTGGGAGTAGCACTAGTACTGGTGGCTGTGTAACAGAGTTTCTGCTTGCTATGTGGGAGACCTGAGTTCAAGTCCAAGCTTGGGTGACTTGGAGTGAACAAGTGAGCTACCAGGGAGAAATTCTTCTTGCAGTGGAAAGGGTCCATTGTGTTCTCCCTCTCCAGGTACCTAGGCTCTGTTTTCCTTGACATTTTGTATTTTGTGCCTTTTATATTTCACCCGCCAGTATTGCTTGTTCTGCTGTTTGTGTTTTACATTTTGGTTCACCCTGTCTTTTGTCAACTGGATGAATATGTCTATGATTGTAAGTGTCTAGCCTATGTTGAATCCTGCCCCTCGGGGCATTGTAGTGTCCCCTATACCCCCTGCTTTATACTGGTTATGTTCCCAGTATTTTTCTCTCATTAAAAGGTATATGGTTAAGTCCCCCTTGATGGTCTGGCTCTGCTCTATAAGGGGAGGAGGTTCCCTACACCTCCCACAGCGCTTGTGCACCTGCTTTGATCCCTTCAGTTGCAGAGCGGGTACCTCCTTGGAGTACCACCCGGGTTACAAAAGCATAGTAAACTTAAACTCCATTTTACAGATTAAAATCTAACACACAGAGCGGCCACATGATTGTCTAAGTCCCTCCGATAAATCAATATATTGATGGAATTAGAACCCTGATGTCCTACTTTGAATGCTAGCACGTGAACTGTTGTGTCTCCAAGTTTTAAATGCCTAAGATAAAATTTTCAAAACTGACTGAAGAAACAGGGTACCACTGAAAGCAAATGGGCTAACAAATGTATATTTAAAACTATTCCATCACTCAAACATGCATCTAGCAATCCTGTGAGAATGCTTCTAACTCTTATTTAGACCATCTCCTCCTTTCCACATGACATCTGCCTTTAGCTAAATGCCTTTAAAAGTCTAGCCTTTAAATGGCTTTGATAAGTTTATCTTCCTGCTATACTCAGTAGAGTATACTTAGTGTACTTATTCCATTCCCTCCAGTCTTCTAGCATTGTGGTGTCTACTATGAATATTCATACATGCAATCACATGAAAGTCAATGCGTGACCAGGAACATTTCTTTAATTGCTCATAACATTAAACAAAAGGCACTCACTAAGTGCTGAGAAATGCATTGAATGTAATGAAATGATACTGATTTTCACCAAATGTGGCCATGGTCCTTTATATCAAAGGAGTCTTAATAAATTATCCTTCCTTCCTTTCTTTAAAATACAAATGACTGCAGGGGCATGTGCCTTAGCATATTGTGTCTTTAGACCCCTGCTGACACATTGTCCTACACTTTGGCAATTCTGTGAGACAGCATAATCCATAATCCAGCATAAACCTGCTGGAACGCAAGCAAGGATGGAGAGCAGTGTGAATCGGGCCCTACTAGAGTAAACTGGCAAAACTCCCCTTAACTTCACTGGGGCTCAGATTTCACTCCAATTTCCTTTTGTAAATTGTATTGAGGTTGTTTAATCAGCATAAACTGGACAGAACTGTGACGTGCACATCAGTAGTAAAATGCATGAGCTTTGAATGAAGACTTATAGAGGGCAAATCCATTTACTGCTACCACTTCTGGCTCAGCAGTCACCACTGCCCTGGCTCCCACTACCACCCAAAATACAGAAATTGCTGGTTACACCTGTGCTGCACATCACATGTATTATTAAAGGACCCTAAATCTAAACATTTAAACCAGTAGAAAAATTATTTTAAAACAACTTGGTGACAAACAGAATACAGTTTAAGAAAAATCTAAGCTAAGGAAGAAGGTAGGTTGTGTCCTGTATGAATGACGCTTCCACTGTAATTCACTTGTGGCTACTGCATACCAGATAACCTAACACAGAAATGGGAGTACGTTTGAGTCACCCAACAGATTCTCCATTTTTCCGCCTCCTGAGACAGCATCACAATGACCAAAATTCTTGATGAGCGATGTTAATTTGGTGTGCTTTTTCATTTTGAGAGGATGAAAATTGAAGCAATGCAGCATGTTATTCTAAGCAAAATTAAATAAGGCCTCCAGGGGAGGAAAAGGAAAAGAACCTTTCCAAATTCCATTCAAAATGCTTTCAAGGAAGTATTTATTTTTGCACATCCTTATGAGGCTCCTGTAGCTCCTGGCAGTTGCCTCATTACATTTAAGCTCTACAGACTTCTTTCTCTTACACCTATGTAAATTAGGGGTTAATTCAGTGGAATTACACTAGTATAAAACTGGTGTAATAAAGAAGAGAATCAGACCTTATAATTTTATTTAAAGCCTGTGACTGAATTCATCTTCAAATGTCACCTACTTTACTTCATCTTGGTAAGGCTGTGCACATAATTAATAAACCTGTTATATTTGATCTACTATTAATTAGAAAATGTATTTGTTCTAATTCTAATTAGAAAATGACTCTGACATTTTGATTTACAAAACTTTCGGGTTTGCCTTTTCTGCCTTCTGAGCAGATAGATATACTCTGTGGTAATAAATGTGAGGCCTTGCTGAAGGTGCCTTCTCTGCTGACACACCTTTGTTTAAAGAAGGGGAATTAAGGTGCAAGTCAGAACTTTAAAATGTATTTCACAAAACTATCACATGTTAACCTATTCTAATAGTTGGGGCTTTTTATATTTTTTCCAGTCACAATATTCTTCTCTACGAGGATGGTCATGCTGTTGTTGCTGACTTTGGAGGTGAGATTTGCTGATTAACCTGAAAAATGTTATCAGTTTCTCTAAAACTACAGCTGTTTTCTATGATGTCGGACTAGTTGTCGGACTAGTTGAGGGTGCCCTTTGCTTCATTATTTTCTTGAGAAAGACTCTGGAAAAGAAACTTTGGTGTTCTTCAGGATTCCCTATTGCAGTTTTTCTTATATTCATGGTATATATGAGGTCATTCGGCAGACAAACAAGAAGGCAAGGTGTTTTCAAGATGCTAATACCCCTGAACTTCACATCTCATCTAACCCACCTAGTGCTGTTGAATACTTAGCATCTGAGGCTGAAATACAAGCTGGATAGAGTTCAAATGGCTGAGTCTCAATTCAGATAAAAATGAATTGTTTTCTGGGAGGATGGGGGAAGCACGTGGGAACATTTCAAGGGTTATAGCTAGGCAAGTTTCTTTGGTTAGAAGTGATATCTTTTATTAGACCAATTGAGTAGTTGGGGAAAAAGTTCTTATAGCAAGCTTTCAGGCGCAGTCACCCTTCATCAGGCCTAGGAAGTCTCTGCTGGTCTGAGACTCCAAGGAATGAGAGAAGCTAATGAAAGCTAATGACTGAGAGAATCTTCCTTGGCCAGCAGAGACTCCCCATGCCTGATGAAGGGTGACTGCGCCCAAAAGCTTGCTAAGAACTTTTTCCAGCTACTCAAATGGTCTAATAAAATATACCACATCTAACCAAAGAACCTTGCCTGCCTATGGCCTTAGACCAACACATCCGCAGCCAAAAACTCAGCAAGGGCTATAGCTGTCTTTCCAATTGAGGATGGGTCTTCATCTTTTGTTACTGGCATTCGCAGTTTGGGGGTGGTGTTGGAACCAAGCTGTTATCATATAGTCCTCTAACAGCTATCTTTATTTGAAGAGTAAAATGTGGCTGTTTCCTAATGAACCTATTACTTCAAAATCAGACCAAGTTACACCGTAAGAATCTGAAGCTGGTGGACAATGCCATGGCTTTACTTTCTGGGGGCACAGATCTTCATTACTTGCCTGTTGATGTCTGTGTAGAGCTTAAGCAGCTGATTTTGATCTACAAAGTCCTAGCCACCTTAGGACACATTACATTATTTTTGGCCTGTGAGCATCAATTTAAAAGAGAGGAAGATGCTGGTGTGATAGTATCCGTGAAGGGCCTTTCAATTGACTCAGACACACTGCAAGTTGAGTTACCTGCTTTCCTAGGTTACGTTCTGGAAAGCACTATGTACTAAAAACAAATTATTTTATGTTGTTTACAAATACAAATCCTTAGTTGGTGTTATTCATTACTCAAGTCAATGGGAATTATTAGCCAGTTGCTACCATCCAGGAATCTTGCTCACTGATTTAGGTAGTCCCATTGTATCTGAAATGCCTTCATGCACCCTCATTTAAGAATAGGCCGTTGTACTTGTTTATAGAAGTTTTGGATTTCCGCTATTGCTTCTGCAAAATGGGGTCTGCCTGTAGAGTGTTTTTATTTGGAACTTACTTTTTTTTCTCTCAGAATCAAGATTTTTGCAGTCCTTGGATGAAGACAATATGACAAAACAACCTGGGGTTTGTTTCTTGCTCTTTTCCATATGCTCATGTAGTTTCAGTTGTTTAAAAACTATACCCAAAGTTTCACAAATACCTTTACAAAATGTAGCCTGTACCTTTTCCACCTGTTACACAAAGGTCATGATACACTGCTGAGTCAGAATCAGTTACCATGGACTATATTATAGCGTTAGCAATGTGGTTTTGAAATCATCCTATTAAAAACAGTAATGTGAAAGAACTATATGAGCAGAAGTGCTTCAGTTTTGATGTCCATTTGGTTCTGACAGTATATGCAAAGGACCAGAGTAAGACCACCCACTTCTAAACCAGTGGGTTGCTGTTTGTTTGTGAAGCAGCTACATATGTAGGCTTCTGCAGAATGCATTGGTAGTTCAGGAAGGAAAACAACCTTCTTACACACACATAATTGCCACTGCCATTATTCTACCCTATAGATTTTAGCAGCTATAACTGGAATTAGATATGCTAAAGCTCTGTTGCCTGCTCTCAGGGTGGGTATTTAGATTTCAGCTTATAGAGTATGCTCTATGCGACTCTTCTCTTAGATAAAGACAGCTTACTTTGCTTTTATACAGGCAAGGTGAAGGTCATCCTAATGCTGAAGACACAATATACCATGTTGTGATTTACTCCATGAATTTTATATGCTACAATGAATATTTGTTTTAACAGCTTTACCCATTAGCTTATTGCAGAAAATGAAATAAAGCAAATGCAAAAGTAGAGAAAAAGACATGATCACCAGCAAAGGAACAAAACACTTTGTTAATGCATTATTGATGTTTTCTTGATGTACAGAACCTACGCTGGATGGCTCCTGAAGTATTCACTCAGTGTACAAGATATACGATAAAAGCTGATGTTTTCAGTTATGCTTTGTGTCTCTGGGAATTGCTAACAGGTGAAATACCATTTGCACACCTTAAACCAGGTAAGGCTAACGTTAGGACCACTTACACCTCTGAACTACAGAGAAGTAGCTACATTGCACCTGAATAATCTATATTTTACTAGAATTCTAAATATGTTAGGAGCCTGTCATCCAATTAAAACCAAAACTAACACACTGCAATCATGTATTATTCAGTAAAATGGATGCACTATCTATTTAATGGAAATAGGTGACTCCAGGACCTGGTTTTACCTTCAGGAATTTTCAACAGCACATGCTTTCTACCTTTGAAGGCTGTTGAAATTATGAAGTTATTTTCAATTTATTGTCTTTGAGCACATATTCTTAGGTAACTAAGGACTGTACCCATAAAGAATAGCTTCCTAGCACCAACAACTCAGCATTTCCAGAACTGTAACTTTGCAACCAGTGGTATCACCTTTCTGATTTTTTTTAGTCATTATAATAATTTTTTGCTTCATTAAAGTAGTAGACTAGGGGGTTTCAAACTTTTTTAGTAAGTGTAACCCTGGCAGCCGGATGTGTGTGTTGGGGTGTGGGGGGCATGTGGTTGGATGCAGAGCAGCAGCAGCGCAGGGTAGTGGGTGGCAGCAGCCACCGCCATGTGCAACTCACAGAGTGTTGTTGCTGCCCTCGCCCTGCCCTGGACCTGCTCCTGAGAGGCAGCGATGCTCCATCCCCACCTGCCCGCGCATACCCCTAAGGCCTTCCCAAGTACCCCCACGGGTATGCGTACCCCCAGTTGACCTCCCCTGTAGGAGACTATATGAACTTCAGGCCGCTTCTGGATTTGAGTAGAACTTTGGGGACTGAATGGAAACCATTCCAGAAATGGAAAATTCCTCAACATTTGGGGAACTTCTTTTTTATGGGAAGGTGGGCGTGCAAAGTATGGTGGCTAAGAGGAGAGGTGTTATATCTGCAAGGGCTCTTGGATGGATTTTAAGCAGATTTTTTGCTTGTTGAAAGAAGAGTAGACAGTGAATTAAATTCTGTCCTTGGAAAAACAGTTTTCATTTATACTATGTAATTTTTTTGCCTAATTAGAAAATAAAATATCAGCAACTATATATAGTCTCTAGCTAGTTATCTAGCTTAGGGCAAACCATGAGTGGTTAAGTTGTGGCCCTGGGGCTCCTGCCTAGCGCTGAGGCAAAAAACCCAGGCTCAAATTTGCACCCCTTCTATTTGAGCTGCTGCAAGTGCATGTGATTGCATGTGTAGACATGCCCAAGGTGTCAGAGATATGACCCATGGGTTAGATCTGGCCCACAGAGGCCTGTCATTCAGCCTCCCATGGGTCTTGGACTGACCACACGTGTTACATACAGCACAGACCAGCCCAAGTGGTGGCAAGATCCCAGCTTTAGGCATACTTGTGCTGGAGAATTTGAAAGGCTGGGGTCACAGGTGTATCAGTATGAACCTAAAAGGAGAATGTACCCCATGTCATGCAGGAGTTTTATGGTTATCGAAAAATTATCAGAGTTCCCAGTAAAAAAGACTGACTTTCAGTAAATTCAATAAAGCTGTTTTATCCTATCTCTTGTAAATAAATAAATCTAAGAATTGAAGCACAATTCTACATGACAATGGTAATTTTATTCCTTAATTCTTCTTATTATTTATGGTTGCGCTATGTTTAAGAATAGAAGGGTATCACTTACTGATCAAAAGAAAATACTGAAAGGTTCAATACTGCCTGCTAGTATTGTACAAATCTTGGAGTAGGAAGTTTCATGAACCATCTAACTACTTTTCTGTTTCAAAAATCAATTCAGAAACATATTCTTGCCACTTCATTCAGCATTAAAAAGGATGTTGCTTGTTTTATCTTTTTAGTTCTATGTTCTTAATAACTGATGGGAAAGCCATGCTATCACTAGGAAGAAAAGAACACCTCAAAAGTGACATTGACCTAAGTGGAGTATATGCAGTATTATATACACTCAAATGTTCACACATAGTACTGTACTTTGGGTAAAATCCTGTCTTCACTAAAATCAATAGCAAGATTCCCAATTACTTTAGTCAGCTAGGATTTCATCTAGAATGTATTATGGAGAAAGAAATAGTGTGTGTAAATAGAAAGATAGTTATATTTATTCTTCTCTAACAACTTCACCTCTGTTTATTCCTTTTTCACAGCATCTAAGCAAAACATAAAACCATTTATGTTTGACTTATCCTTTCAAAGTCACATTAAACCAGGATCTAAACTAAGCAAAATGTTTTTGCCCCTGCTCTCCTCTCCTCATGTCCCCCACTACATATCATACTTAACTGATATTAATATTCTGAAACATCATTATAGAGGTCAAGATTGCAACACAGACAGTGGCTCAAATTAATCTATTCTTGTGACAAAGACTGTAATGAGAATGGGCTCTGGTTAAAAAAAATTAAACCATTCTTGTTAAAATCGCAAGATAGAAATCTCTTGGTCTCCCTCAGATGCCATAGACCCTGGTGATACATCATTTAAAAGTGTCAGTTAACAAAGGAGTTTACTTAGCTCTGTCTATGAGGAATTTGATTTGACTAGATGTACCATGGTTGTTTAAAAAGAATTCAGGAGATTAATTATGTTTTTTAAATTACTGTATATATAAACACAATTAGGAAAATAGTCTGATATTTTTATCATAATCAGTAGTGACTAGCCCATATAAAAAGGCACTCCTTTTTTTCTCTAAATAAATGCTTGGAAACCCCTAGCACAGTTGACTTAAAAGTTGTTTGGGAAGTCAGGATATGGGAAGATAGAATCTGGTAACAATTTATCCGTAACTTGAGTGTATCTAATTAGGTTGATTATTGAAAGATGCTCAGTCGTTCTCTCATAATGAAGGACTTTTATTATAATGTCATCTATGAGGTGAGGGTTAATTGATGTTTCTTTCAAAGGCTATTTTATATGGTCTGCACCTGAACCTGATCATCTTCGACCAGTTTTAACCTTGGCAGAAGTGCATTCATATGCAGAATCACTGGTTGTTGCATTAAAATATTTTGACCCATTGGCTTTACCTGCCAGTTTGATACTTAAGCATTTTTTAGCTGTTCATGACTAACTTATTCATATAGCAAAATAAAATGTGTTTGCATAGGAATATTTATGATACCTGAATATTAATTAAGCTTCATTATATTGTCTTATTTGCAGCTGCTGCTGCAGCAGATATGGCCTACCATCACATCAGACCTCCAATAGGGTATTCAATTCCCAAGCCCATATCGTCATTGTTAATGAGGGGCTGGAATGCATGTCCTGAGGTAAGTGCACCCACTTCCTTCATCTACAGAGCTGTGATTGCAAAGGTTTGTCATGCGTAAAAGGCCTTATTTACAGAAGGCCTAAGAAAGAAAATGGCCAGCTGGATATGCTTCGATTTGCTAACTCCTATTTCTGTGACCTCTGAAGATACCCCAGATAGCTTAATTATTCTTGTGACTGGTAGAACAGAAAGGTCTGAGAGTGAAAGGAGGACATACTTCTGTTTGTTTTGAGGAATCTCTTACAAATGAAGACACATAGAGTAATCTTTGTTCCAGGATAAATCTCAGAAGGAAACTATGATCCACTGTTGAGGACCAGTGGAGGCTGGTTTAGGTAGCATTTATACCTCCTCATAAAGAAATCTGATGACTATTATAATGAACTGCTCTCTTGTGGCTTTTTGTTTGAACCCAAATCATGACTTGGCCTGTCTGCCCATGCAGGAGAGTAGGGGCTCCTCTTGCACGGTGGCATGCGCTACCTAAACCTTGGGTTTGGGCACTGCTTATATCATCCTTCAGAACAGGTGACTGGAGAGTAGACTGGGAGCTTTAGCCCTTCTCCACTCACTGAAGGTGCAGCTGAGCCAGCTCAGTGCATTTGTTTTTAACATTGGCCAGCAGCAAATTGCCAACCATGGGTCTGAGACTCAGCAATGTGTGCCTAGATCACAGAACCTCTTGTGGCTGGTACTAGGGTAATGCTTAGTGCTCTGACTCACAAATGAACCCTTAATTGATTTAATATTTCAACTGACAAGATTGAAAGCATATACAGTAACAAAGTGGAAGCAGCCTGGTTAGATGAGCCATACATCTCCTGCCCTGACAATTTGTGTGTGATACTAATAACACCCTCTCTTTTACTCACTCCATTTCCTTTATGGCTGGGGTCTTTTTTGTTTTCAATCCTACACTGTTTGCATGTTTTGTCTTCCTATTTCTGTCTGTTCTATTGTTTGAAAAGGAGATGTTTTAGTTAATTTTGCATCCAGCCAGACAAAAAAGAAAGTATAAGAGAAGGAAAAAAGAAAGAAACAGATGGGCTGATTAAAAAACAGCTAGGAAGGAAATCAGCAGAAACTGATTGAAATGAAAGAAAATGGTGTGACCACACAAGTAAACAAGAGAGAGAGGTAGTTAGCCATATTAGTCTGAAGTTAGACCAAAGATCAACCATCTTGCAGACTAGCTTTTTCAGAGAGGCATGACAGTCAAAAAGCCCACAGCTGAATTGATTCCATCTTCACAGGTTAGTCTAAGCTGCATAGACTGAACGGATGAGCAAGTGAACAGACATTCACTTCTGATTCCAGAAATGTAGCCACATGCCTGCAGTGGCTCAGGCTAGAAGCCAGAGGGTGCTGGAGCATGCTTCCCTGCTAGGTTGAAGGAGACAACTTGGGCCAAAACTAGCCCACCCAGCCTGGAAGGGGGTTTTCAGGGGAGTTGCAAAGCATCCCAGGATGAACGAGGACTGCGAGTTAATGTGAATCTGCAGGGAGGGAGGGAGATTTGGGACAGAAATTCAATAAACTGATTTAACCTAAATCAGTTAAGCCTGATACTATACCCAACCAGGTTTATCTTAAACCAGTTTCAGCCATTTTGAAAGTGGTTTATGTGCACTGAACTTCTGTTGTGTTACAGATTTCAACTGGTTTCAAATCACTTATACCAATTTATATGTAACTTCTGTCCCTAGCCTTGTAGGCTAGCCTGCCAAAAAAAGCAAAGTTGATAAAGTGTGTAAAGAGGAGAGAGAGAAAGAAAAGTCTAGATAGATTGAAAGAGGAAAGGATATAATTATTTAGGCATGTAACAGAGCTTTGTAAGTTTCTCTTATAAACAGGGATCCTGGTTTTCCCTGTTTAAAAATCCAAAATTTTCTGATTAAACCCCCCCAAATTTGCATTTTTCTATAATTAAAATGAAAGGCCACTATATATATATATAGGTATCAGATGCACACAATGTTTTATTGACATATTTACAATTTTAAAGCACTTCGGAAGCCTACCAGTGCGTCAATCATTATAATAAAATACATTCTAAATACTATATATTTAGGTGTCTGGTTTTGGTTTTTTTATCATAGAAGATCAGAGCTCTCCCTGTCCCCTTTGCTCACCAGGATGCAGGTCCAGCTGTAACTGTTCCTACAGCTGCTTTGTGGTGCTCAGCATGCTGGTGACCTGCCCCTGCCCATGCAGTTGCCCTCACTCCCAACCCACAGCCCCCACCAGTCACTCCCTCCCAACAGCAACTCCCACCCTTCGCCCCCCATACCAGGCCATAGGTCCAGCTGCAGCTGTCCTGCCTGCTGCTGCTTTGTGGCTCTGAGCAGCTCCAGATCCTGCTGTTCTACTCTCTGCCCCCATGTGCCCAGGCCCCAGCGGTCCCCATGCCCTTCCTGGGAAACCCTTGACTGGAGTTCATGGACTGGGCTGGACTTGCCTCTGGTTGGGCAAGCCCTTTCCCTTTCAGGCCAGCCTCTCCCTGTACAGGCTGCTTTAGCAGTCCAGGTGGACTCCAGGCCCAGCTCTGAAGCCCACTTCTACCCAGAGTGCCTTCTGCCACAATCTCTCCCTCTCTCTTACTCACACATGCCCCCCCTGCTCCCACCTCCAGCCCAAACATAGACCCTGCTGCCACTTCCCCCTGGCCCATCACAACCCCCTGAGTGGTTCCCAGGATCAGGATCCCCCTCAGGGCAGGCAAGGCTGGAAAGGCCCCAGGCGAGGCAGGACAGCATGTAGGCTAATCGTGCTGCTCATCTCCCCCCCTCCCTTCCCCATGCCTTGCTGTGCAACATGCTCCAGTCACTGCCTCCAGTGCTAGCCCCAGCAGAGCTGCCAGCAGCCACTGCAGACACAGGCTGGTGGGATATGGTGCAACGATGCAGTGAGTAAGAGGGCAGCAGTCACAGCGAATGAGCAGTGCTCACCCCCAGCATCCCAGCCCTGGCCCTGGGCACTGCCCCAGCTAAGCAGCACCCCCAGCCCCAGCCCCCAACCCTGACCTGAGGGCACCGGGCCTGGTGGGCAGGAGGGCAGCATGCTCCTTCCCTCCCTCCCTTCTGCACTGAACTGCTGCCATTGCCAACCCAGCTGGGCAGCACCCTCAGCCCCAACCCTGCCCTGAATGTGCCTGGCCTGGTGGGCAGGGGCACAGAATGTGCTCCCTCCCTCTCTCCTGCACTGAGCTGCTGCTATTGTCACCCCAGCTTGGCAGTGCTCCCAGCCCAACTGAGATGAGACACAGTGGGACAAGGCAGCCTACACCTGCCCCAGCCTTGGCCCATGGCACAGGACAGGGTGATAGCTACCCACACACCCCTGCCCTGGCTCTTGCTAGCTCTCCCCATGCGCCCCAGCCCCACTAGCAGCATGACCCTCACCTGACCCACAGGGCACCCCCCCAGTCCTTCTAGGGGGGCACCCAGCTGCCTCCCACCCCCAGGGCCCAGCCCCCAAAAGCTCTACTTACCCAAAAGGCCACAGGAGGGAAACTGAGTCTGAGCCAGCCTTGGCTGACTCAGATTCTCAGGCCTCGTCCCCAGCCCTTCTGGACAGGGCTTGAGGTTTCCTGTCCTTTTGCAAGTAGCTCTTGCAGGCTGGAACTCTGCCTGCCTGCCTGCAGAGAGCTGTTTGCAAAAGCGGAAACCTGTGTTTTGACCATTTGGGGAAAGGGGAAAATCCACCTTTTTCTCCTTTAAGGAGGAAAATCCACATTTTCCCGTGGTTTTCTTCAGAAAATGGAAAACCCAGATCCCTGCTTATAAAGCATTTGTTCTGACTTTCACTGGGTAAATAAGAGGTTGTACTGGTGGCCCTTTTCTAGAGCTTATCAGGTATTCAATTTCTCTTTTTTTACCCTCTAAAAGAAAATAATGTAATTAAAAAGAGGATCCAGGTCACTCCACAGGTCTTAATTTTCCTTCTGTACTGCCCTGAGATTACCATTCAACTACCCCTGCCTCTGCAGTAGCAGCAGGTGAAAAAATTGGAATAAAGAAATGAAAACGAGAGGAAGGAAGCTAGGAAGAACACTTCCAGTTATTTTCCTGGAAAATGGTTACATTAAGTATTCCCTCTTTTGTAAATAGGTGAGGAATGCATTGTCAGTCTGGAAAGGGCAGATAATAAATCTCAGAATTTATGATTATCTGTGAAGGAAAAGGGGAACAATTAAAGTGTCTTCCTCCAAAAATAAGCCCAATTATTTGGGACTTATTTTTGGCCTTGCTTCCGGTACTCAAGGCTTGTTAATGCTTTCCACTTGTCTTAACCTAATACAGCCTAGGCTGAGTTTTTTTTCTTCTGTACATTCCTGAAATGTCATTGTCATAAACATATATTTACTTTTCATTTTGTTTCTTGCTCTCAAAGGAATGTATTTCTCTCCTCCTGTAAAAAGGATTGCTAAAACCAAGTGATAATATATTGCCTCACCCAAGAGACCAATCCTAGAAGTTGATATGTTAATGAGATATTTATTTTTCAAAACCTTTAGTTAATAACAATGAAGAGATGAAAGTCTCTTGGATTTGCTCAAACCGTTTTTTATACAAAACCATGGTGTTTACACAACTACACTAGCTAATTACTTGGTGATTCTGAAATGATTGAATCAAACAACTCCACCTAGTGGTTAATAATAAATTACTAGGCTTTGTATAGAGAATCAGTTGCTTTAATGACTGGGTCAAATTTCATTCTCGCCTACTCTTCTCCCCTCCACCCACCCCCAAACAATTTAATGGGTTTATAAACTCTTGCAGTTTGTACAGAGACCAGAAATCCTAAAGAGCTAAGTGAATTTAAAATCAAATTTAATAGTTACAGGTAAAACAAAAAAATTACATTATCTATCAAGCAAGGACAGTAATAAATGGAGCACAGAAATGTTTTAAATAATGCAAGTTGTACACTGTAGGAAGCAGCAGCATTTATAGTTGTCATAAATGTAGTACTGTACATTGACTGAAATCTGCG